CCCCCAGCACTGCTGTCAATAGTGATAATAAAATAACACCCCCTGCATTGGTGTCAGTCGGAGTAATAAAAGCACCCCAACAGCATTGGTTACGGTGGAAGTAATAAAAGCACCCCCCCTCCAGCACTGGTGTCAATAGGGATAATAAAATAACACCCCCTGCATTAGTGTCAGTCGGAGTAATAAAAGCACCCCAACAGCATTGGTGTCAGTGGGAGTAATAAAAGCACCCCCCCCTCCCGCATTAGTGTCAGTGGGAATAATAAAAGTACCCCTTCCTGCAGTGGTGTCAGTGGGAGTAAGAAAAACACCCCAACAGCATTGGTGTCAGTGGGAGTAATAAAAGCACCCTAACAGCATTGGCGGGAGCAACAAAAGCACCCCACCTGCATTGGTGACAGTGGGAGTAATAAGAGCAGCCCCCCGCCCGGCATTGGTAAACAGCTTTGGTGTCAGAGAAAGCAATTAAAGACCCTCAGGTTTAATATAGGGATGCAGAGATACCAAGTACCGTACCGTGCAACCGCTGCAACACTTTTAGTTCTCGTGAAAATGCCCTAGTTTTAGAATGTAAATTGGTGTCATTAGGAGTAATAAATGACTACACCCCCCCCAATAAAGGAGATCAATGCACAGGACCTAGCATGTGGTGGTGGTGGTGGAGTGCAGCAGGCAACACTAGATTTGCAGAACATGTGAGTGTGTATTTTGATGATAACCCAGCAAACAAGGTAAGAGGGTATTAAAATAAAATCACACGGTGGGGTGAAGAGCCTTTTAAAGGTTACATGTGACTATAATGTTAGCAAGGTAGCATCAGGAAGATAGTGGATACACTTGTGAGACGCTGTATTCTGTATGCAAGCTGCGACTAGATCTCCTATGGTCATACTGAGGCCTACTCCTAGCCACCAAGTGTGATAGGTGGCCTCACTGGCCAAAAGGGAGCCAAGGTCTGGTGTCGCTGTATTAATTAGGAAATGGCCAATGGTTTCCTTTACCCGGGTTAAATTACGGCCTCTGCAATGCTGGGTAGCACCACAGCTGGGCTGTGAACCTATACTGCTGTTCCTCCAGTGGTAGACTGCCAATTTTCCCTTTGTGTTTAGGTTATGGTTTTAGAGAACCAAAACAGCAAGAAAATTCAGGTGTTTCCAACGTTACACAACATAATACACCATTTTTTAAAAACACAGCTGTGGAAATAGGCCGTTTAGGTATGATTGACAGGTCTTCACAGAGGAGAGTTTTCTTTAAAGTAGACGAGGGAATTAAACAAACACTCCCTCACCATCCATAGCTCTTGCCCAAAACTTTAGAGACTTGTGAGCACAACTTAACACTAACCTGGAAAAATGTGCCAATTCTTCCTCTTGGCTGGTGATTTCAAGGGGCTCATTTTTTAATATTTGTTTGAGGAGGTACGGCACCATGTTTTTGATATGGTGGCAGGGAACATATATGCTTGGCATTTGACTTTACTTTTGATTTTTGACCCAAGTCCTTAATAGGTCAGTCCATTCCGCAGCTATCTAGATAATGTTTTGATCTATGAAACCTGTGTTTTGTTGTGTGTATGAGGAAGAAGAAATGAAATGTCAACATTTGGAATGGAGTCATTCAGAGTTGTATTTTCTCTTACAGAACAAGCCTTAAACTTGTTCCTGTGTTGGGATGTTCCTCCTCCAGACAGAAACATACGTTGCCTGACTTGCCTTATGATTTTGGTGCACTGCAGCCTCATATCAGTGCTGAGATTATGCAGCTCCATCATGATAAACATCATGCTGCCTATGTCAACAACCTGAATATTGCCGAGGAGAAGTGTGCCGAGGCTTTGGCTAAAGGTATGAAAATAGCTGTGCTTAGTAATAAAAATGATTAGGTGAAGTATCAGGTGAAGTATTAGGATCGTATAAAACAAACATGAAAGAAAAGAATAGGCCAAACATCATCCAACCTATTGGTTATTAGAAGATGATTTTGTTGTATAGTTAACCATTTTATGATTAGAGTCATTAACCACTTGAAGACCAGGTGTCTACACCCCCTTCCTGGCCAGGCCATTTTTCCCGTATTCTACGCTGCGGTACTTTGACTGACATTTATTCCGTCATGCAACGCTGAACTGAAATTCATTTTATACCATTATTTTGGGACAGATAGAGCTTTATTTTGGTGGTATTTAGTCACCACTGGGGTTTCTATTTTCTACTATAAAAAGTACAGTACATTTCGTAAACAAAATTGTTTTCCCTACATTATGTTAAAAAATATTTATTCTTACCCATATTTTTGCTAAAATATAAAAGACGGGGTCACGTCGGGTAAATAGACACCAAACATGTCAAGCTTTAAAATTGCGTGCGCCCCCGAAATAGCAATAACATACTATACCCAAAATTGGCCATAGTCAACGCTTTAAAAGCTTTTACTGCTCATCAATTTAGTGTGATCAATGAATAATGGCCCTAAAATTATTGCCCTTACTCTGACGTTTGCAGTGATGTGCAACATGTGTGGCGTTCTGGGCGCAATCATCGTTTTCGCACGTATGCGCACCCAACGCATGTTTGCGCCCGTGTATGTGGGGCTGGGACTTTTTAATGATTTTTTTAAATCATTTTTTTTATGTGAGTTACATTTTTGGGGGAACTGTGACCGACCCTCTTTATGAAGACATCAGGGGTCTTTAAGACCCCTAATGTCACCTATGAACCCACAAAGAAGCTGATGAAGCAGAGATCTGCTTCATCAGGTTCTCGCGAGGTTCTGTAGCCGGAGAGTGACAGCAGAAGTGATGTAATATATGCCACTTCCACATTCTGATACTAGAGAGGAGCTCGGAGGGAGATCATGTACTGATCTAATGTCCAAAGCTGCCGTGCTGGTGGAACTCGGGACCAGCGCACCAAATCAGCACCTCATACAAGCGATCCGTCTGCTCTCGCTTGTATGTAAACAGGCATTGCTGCCTGTTTTTAATTTTGACAGTTTCGCACTTTTTCGCCGCTCGGGAAGCAGTTAAAGTGCAACTGGAGACAAAACTTATTTTTTTTCTTTTTCTTTAGGTTTGATCAGCGGGCAAAGGGACTAGAACACCAGTTCGGTTTTTATTGCTGTTTGTGTCCCGGTTAGACAGACTCGCTGTCCTAATTTGTCCTGCTGACTGTCATCAGTAAAATTGAAAGAAGATCCCACATTTTTGGTTGTCATCAGAGCAGAAATAGATGGGACATCTTCCAGTGGGCACACTAGTTCTGGTGACTGTGCTGACCACCAGGGATTTCCCTCATGTTGAAGGGATTTCCTACCGCTTCCTTTTTGTTTTTATGGGGCCGGAAGTGACAGGAAATCTCCCCAATTGCACACACATGGCAAAAAGCTGATGGTGGCTACACCCTCCCTTACTCTATACATAACAAACCAAAAAGAAAAAGTTTTCTCTTCAGTTCTACTTAACCCTTTTGCTGCCAAATCACTTTTTTTACCCAAAAAATAAATCTGTATTATTAGCTAGAAAATGACTTAAACCCCCATAACATTACATATTTTCTGAAAGTTGAGACCCTTTAGCATAAAAGGTGGTAAATGCAATTTTTTTAGTGGTGCGTAACTGTTTTATCAAATCTATAGTTCCAGTACTAAATGCAATAAAATGCATTCTCACACACAAAATATAAGGTTGTGTTGTGTAAATGGATACCAAATACACTACATTGTAATACATACATACATACATACATACATACATACATACATACATACACTGAGTGGCCAGATTATTATGACCACCCCATCAGTACTTCGTTGGGCCACGAGATAACTCCACGAGATGACTTTGTTGGGCCGCCTCGTGATTCCACGAGATGTTGAAAGGTGATAGGAGGAATCTGACACTGCACTGTTGCCCTTCTGTTGTCTTGTACCAGTCTTGCCACTCTCCGTTCTGCCCTAACATTGACTAGTCGCTGACGGCCACAATTCGCACGTTCAGACCCAGATTTTCGACTGACAGTCCAGTCTTTAAACACTTTAACAACAGCTGCTCTTGAACATTTAACGCATTCTGCTGTTTTGCTGATACACGCTCCATGGCTCCGAGCGGCAACAATCATCCCACGTTCAAAGGCTGTTAAATCACGTTGTTTACCCATATCTTCAGAAACAAATCACTTCTACTGTCGTGGTAAACAACCTGCTTCCCTATTTATAATGGTCTGGCCCTCTAGCAACTTCATTGCGAAATTATAGCTAATTCGCCTACAAACGTCAGGTGGTCATAATAAACTGGCCACTCCGTGTGTGTGTGTGTATATATGTATGTATGTGTGTGTGTGTGTGTGTGTGTGTGTGTGTGTGTGTATGTGTGTGTATATATATATATATAATTTCATGCTGCCACAAGGGAGCTCATCAAGTCTGTTATGTGATAGGATTGGGCTGGTGACAAGTACTCTGTATGAAGGCATGCAGTCTCATCATGCCGAGACCAAATTTACCTATGTCTGTATGCATAGCCAATAACTCTGACTAATTTGAATCCATTCACATTGGGTTTTTTTTTATGTACATGGATGGTGTGTGTTTTTTGATTTAGAAATGTTTTAATATTTGTAGTCTAACAAGTATTCTTTACTTTTGCAGGAGATGTTACAGCTCAGGTTGCCCTCCAGTCTGCTCTTAAATTTAATGGAGGAGGCCATATAAATCACTCAATTTTCTGGACTAACCTCTGCCCGAATGGTGGAGGAGAACCCCAAGGTCCGTGAATGTTAAACACAAAAACATAAATGCAACCTATTGCAGCTTACCAGTTAGATGTAGTGACTGCATTCGTTTCTTTTTATCTTCTCCTCTCCGTTTGTCCATAACAGAGGGACGTAGTTCCATAGTCATTAGACTACAATGTAATCACAGTAGGGCTGAAACAATCTATTTGATGGATCATAATCTATAATGAGCAGTGGGGATCAGCAGCGGGGGATCGGAGGAGACAGATCCCTGCAGCCGGTGCCCAGCTGTGAGCAGAGCTGCCCCAAACTGGCACAGGCAGCGGGGATTGGAGTGGACACATAGCCAATCCACCTGCCAGCGACCGTGACAAGTCAGGAAAGGGGCGGTGTGGGAAGGAGACCTGCGGGATGATCAGCAAATTTGTGACATTCCATGAAATAGTCAAACATCACAGTGATCAGTGCTGTTTACTGCAATGTTTGTAAATAACTGAGGACATAGTATTCAGGTACTGGATCCCCATTTATGAATGAACAGGAAATGCTCAACATCACTTCCTGTTCATTCATGATTGTGAACAAAGTAAACCGATACTATCTCCTCTAATTATGAATGAAAAGGAAGCCTCTGCACTGAAAAAAGATTGAGGATTCTCTTCCTAAAAAAAAAAAAAATATATATATTTTCAAAGGGAAATATCAGGGGTCTGTTTTAGACCCCTTTTATATCTTCCCAAAGCTTTAATCATAAAATAAAATGTAAAAAATATTTTTAAACAAAAATAAGGCGGCCCTTAAAACTAAAAAAGGTGGGAAAAAGTAATTGTTCGGTTTTGGCCTGACAAATTCTGGTGCGGGAGGTGTTTTGCGTTTCCATTCATTTCAATGGCACCCCAAGCATGCCTCCCACTCCCAGTGCGATCGCCTGCACCGGAACGCGCTGTACTGCAGTGCTTCGTTCCAGTGCGGTGCGATTGCAAAAATATTGTTTATAGAGTTTTATTCTGAAGTAAACTTTTTATGTTTGTAACACTCAATTTGTATATTTTATTTTATATTAAACAGGAACTATACCCCTATCTTAAAATAACAACAAACACACCTTTTTAGAAATGTTTAGTAATGACAATCTACATACACATACTTCTAGATAATTGTCTGCTTTGTATTCTTTACATTTTTTATTTCTCTTTTTCTTTCCTAGTCTTCTGACAGTGGCCATGTTCACTAAGGGCAGATTACTAGTTCTCCTTTTTCTTCCCTGAACTCTGGCACATGTGACTGATATTTGATCATGATCATGCACATCATCTGAAGCTGGCCATACACCTATAGATCATCTGCAGAATTTCTATGGTCATTTGGAAAAAGTACAACATATTCCTCAATCTACGCTAAACTGTGTAAATGGAGGAATCTCCCACTGGGCCAAGCTTCACTATCTTTCTAGTCGGCCCCGCTGGCTCTCAACGACTAAACAATGCCTGCATCCAATCAGATTTTGAGAGCCCAAAAATTATTGTTTTTCAATCTTCATACAGTCTTTAAAAGTGTAAACCTGCAGCTTTTGAACAAACATCTGACTCAACCATAGACAACATTTTAGAGAAAATCGTATACTAGTAAAATTGGTAATATTGGCTGGGAGTGAGTCTTGTAGACCCACTAGGAAAATATTGTATATAGCAGGCAACCTGAAGAATTTACTGTTGAGTAAAACTCAAATACAAGAAAATAACTTCCCTGTGGTCGCCAGGAGTTAATACAAATTGACAGCTCTTATGATAAAAGTACTGGAGTGCAATACATCTACTCCTTTTTATATGCGAAAGGGCAACATGGGCTTTTGCCAAAAACATCAACTGGGTGTCCAAGTTCTTGTCCTAAAGAGGGACTTTACTATTTCTTAAAAATGACAACAAAGACAGCTTTAGAAATGTTTAGTACAGGCATTCCTCACTTAACGACCGAGTTCTGTTCCTACGACCAGGTCGTTAAACGGATTGGTCGTTAAGTGAGGAACTCTATACAGTACTATACTGCATTAGTACAGTACTGTATAGCGTTGCCGATGTACAGTACCGAACAGTGTACTGTACATCCGGCAATGGAAATACTTACCGAGACCTGCAGTGAAGATCGGGGGATGTCACTTCCGCCGGCGACCCGTCGCACTGACGCGGAAGGTCGGAGGTCGATCGGCGGTCCGTCGTAAGTGCGAGTGGTCGCAAAACAGGTAAGTCGGTAAGTGAGGAACATCTGTAATGACAATCTACGAACACATCCTTCCTTCGAGATAATTGCAGGCAATTTATTCTTTACATACCTTATTTTTCTTTTCCTCCCTATTCTTTTCAGTGTGGTCTTCTTTCTTCTTTCTTCTTCCTTCTTCTTCTCTCCCTTTACTTCCTAGAACTCTGGGTCTGCCTCCTGGAACATGTGACAGTGCACATCTCCGGGAGAAAAATATACTTTCCCCCAAGAGCTCGTGAGATTTTGCATTTTAGAGATATTTCCCAGGAAGGCACTGGTATTGTAACCTTCCCAAGATGCATCTGTCAGACCAGGGCTAGATCACTAGTGCTAGGAAGTGAAACAAAAAGTCATTGTAAGAAAAAAAGAAAAGTTTAACCTCTTTTTGGTACCAGCATGTTACATCCCCTTCACTGCCAATCCATTGTTTTCAGTTTTCAGCACTGTGCAAGTTTGGTGGAATTCCTCCATTACACAACACTAACACAATTTATTTTCTTTTCCTGGTATTTAATAACCACAAATAAATGGTTAGCCATGGTAAAGTTAAATCAAGAAACACTGGTATAAAGGACACCCTATCATTCCAATCTCACTGCTTTCCCCTAAGTCTGCATGGATCTTGAATTCAAATTACAATCATCCTGTAATAGGATACAAATACTTTCTAAGTCGTAATTGGCATAAGGGGATGCTGAGGCTGCAGATTATTTTTTTTCCGAACGGAGACTGATAGGGTGGTTCTCGTTAGTTTGAAAAGGTGCAGAGAGGTATACATCATTAACTTCAAAACAGAGCACTTAATTATGTGCAATATAGTTTGTTAATATCCTTCCAGTCTACATAGTTCAGTTGCAGGTAATTTCTTCACAAAACTGGAGTTCCACTTTTATAAAAGGTCCTGGTCAGGAAGCTGAAAATTCACAAGCCTTTGAGTCCCGTGTTACCTTCTAGGCAGAACCTACATGTGCTACCAGTCTGTTTTCAGATGCTGCATTTATGTGTTGGATGTTTGTCTTTATTAGGTGAACTTTTGGAAGCAATAAAGCGTGACTTTGGTTCTTTCGAAAAGTTTAAAGATAAACTTACAGCATTGTCAGTGGCAGTTCAAGGATCAGGATGGAGCTGGCTTGGTTTTAACAAAGAATCTAACCGCTTACAAGTTGCTGCCTGTGTTAACCAGGATCCCCTGCAAGGAACAACAGGTAAAGCACATTGGGGGGAATTTATCAAAACTGGAGCAGACAGAATCTAGAGCAGTTGCCCATAGTAACCAGCTTCTCTCTTTAGTTTGTTCAGTTAAGCTTTGAAACTGTTTTAAAATATATTATGATATTAAATAAATACAATAAGGACGCACCATTTCCCCAGACCTAATCAGTCCTTGCACGAAACAGGAAACTTGGTGTGACAGAAGATTATCTATTTTTATTTTCTACAGGTCTTATTCCTCTTCTGGGCATTGACGTATGGGAGCATGCTTACTATCTGCAATATAAAAACGTTAGGCCAGACTACCTGAAAGCCATCTGGAATGTTATAAACTGGAAGAATGTATCGGAAAGATACCAGGCTAGTAAAAAATAAGCTGTTGCCTTTCACCCCCTGTTCCGTCCTTAAAAAGCACTTACAACTTGTCATTTGAAGATTTACTGTTAGAATTAATCAGCCTTTCATTTTGTTGCAGTGTTTGTTGCAGTCTCGCCTTAAATACATTGTTATTCAGAGCTGTTTTGAAATTCTGGTAGTCTGTAAAGTTGCATAAGAAGTTGACTTCTCACCAAAAATAAACTGAAATAATATAAAATATTCTGCTTCAGCTTGTTTAATTTGTACAATTTAAAAAAACATTTTTTTGTGTGCATATATTCAGTATTTCTGAAATTCAAATAAAGTTGTGCTTCATGGTGAATGAGCACCACCAAACACCCACATGCAGCAGTACTCAGACTCTTACACAAGCAGATATAAATCTTGCATAAAATCTGGAAGGTGCTAAGGGTTTTGTAGCAGCTGGTTGATTCCCACATGCTTCTGAGGTTCCCCAAGCTATCCTGTAAGATGAAATCCTTTTCACCTTTGACCACTGTCCACATGCGACGAGTGTAGCTTTGTCGCCACCTGCCGTTCGTCAGCTGCCTGGTGACACACCCACACTGATCCCTGTTGCTGTCATTTAGATCTTGCCTGTGGCAGATACTATAGCTTTCACACACTGACCCTAATATACATGCATTCAGATTGGCATGTCTGAATCTACAGAGAACACAAGGGTGCAGCCACATGAAGCAATCTCACACATACAGGCACTTGTAATATAAAGCAACAATCTCTCTTGGAGTTATGAATACTTAGCTTAGTACACAGAAGGCTACTTATTATTATTTATATTTAATATCCCCAGGTGGGCAGTGCATTCAAATATGTAGGGAAGGTAAAAAATGATATACAAAAATATTGTCTCTATGCTAAAAATTAAAAACAGAAAAACGTCACCGTCTGGCTGCTAAAATTTTATCCTGTTGGCGGGAACAAGCTCTAGACAAATTAAAATGTTCATGCTACTTAATTTGTGGAGAAAATTACTTTACCTCTTCGGAGATGGTACCTCACCTGGTGTGAGTAAAGTTTTTGCCTCTTGAAGTGGCCTAAGGTTATATGGTCCAGCCTGTTCTGATGGCTGGGTTGGAGTTAGGATTTCCAAGACCAGCAGATCATCAATCTGATTGCAAGTCTAAGTACCACTTGGCTGCCAAGACCAGGATCTATAAAACCATTTTTAGTCCCTAGGTGGTACTATAAGGCCAGGACATACAATTTTGCATCTGCATGCAACTCGTAATGTGTACTATCAGAAGGAATAACTCTAAGCTCCCTACCACTAAAATTTTGGATCATACCGGAGATTAAACATATTTCCTCTAACACAATCAAGACTTCCCTCCAGGTGACACAAAGGAATTCCTATCTTGTTGGACGCAGGAAATTCCGCTTAGGGCGGAGCTCTTTTTTTAAAGCACAAACCTTTTTGCCTCAAGGCTGACCTTTTCAGGGCTTACACTACGTGGGTCTATTTCCAAATACATGACTTGATGTCACCCACCCAAAAATCTAACTTCTCCAGACCCCTCACACCGTTTGAGAAGCTCTGCCTAGGAGATGGCCCATCATGCCACGTAATCTCTTGGTTGTACGCTTCGATTAGAGTCATCAACAGGAAAACTTTGCTTAACCTACGCAGTAAATGGGAAAAAGCACTTTACATTGCTATTACCGACAATTCTTGGGCAGACATCTGTACGGCTGTCCACAAATGTACAATCAATAGCAAGATGCAAGAGACTAATTTTAAACTCTGGTCTCTCTGCTGTAGGACGTCCCATCTATTACACCGCATATATCCTACCTTGCTATCAAACTGTTGGAGATGTCATTCTGCGGAGGGGACACTCATCCATGTTTTCTGGTCCTGTCCATGTATCCAACCCTACTGGCACCAGGTACATGATGCTCTTAACAGCAACACGGGCGAAGCTCCACAATTTTTACCTGAGATCTTTCTCCGACATTGGAGATCGGAACCCTTCTCGGGCTCTTGCAAATCGCTCACTAGACATCTCATAAATGCCACACATGAAATCATCCCTCGTTATTGGAGGCAAGAACATATGCCCACGGTAAAGGAATGGCTGACTCAAGTCGAGTATGTGTACGAGATGGAAGAGCTGCTTGCAACTAAACAGGATGCACTGGGCGGGTTCAGAACACTAGGGGCCAGCTGGTCCCATTTTACTTGTACAGATTACTTTGCATTCACTACAAAGACATGTGCCCTGATGGCTTGGCTATATCCCCATCTCATGATCCTCTGGGTAATTAGATGAGGCTTACACCCTTACCATTTCCCAACACTCCTCCTACCATCCTGTTTACTATTTCCTGCTTTCTCTTCCCCTCCCTTTTCACCCCATCCCTTACCTTCCCTCTATCTATCTTCACTTATTCAGTTCTCCTATTGCCATACTTTCTTTCACGCTTTATGGGTTCCTCCAAATACTTGATACCTTGAACTTCCACTTCCTGGGGAAATTACAACATACCGATTTATCCTTGTTATACGAAGCCTCCCTGTTCTTAATTATTCTTATGGCACCCTCTCAGGTATCTGACATTATCCTCGATGCACTCATATTTTGGACCCGATACTACTTTTATCCGGTATACCCCATATATCGGAGTCATGTTACTCATGTTCTCATCTTGTAGAGTTCATTCAATCTTATACTGTGATGTTTGTATCTTTGTTTGTATTGCAAAAAAAACAAAACTTATTTGAAACAAACAAAAAAAAGCAACGTATTTCCTCTGATCTAATAAGCAGTGACAGCAGACACTCTGGTGCCTTAATGTGGGTTTACCTCCCTTCTGATGATTTTTGCACTCGCCAGGTCTGCAGGATTCTTCTGTTGGCTTGTGAGGTGACAGTTGCCCACCTTTCTTTGCAGCCACAAGCCTACAGGAGCCTGTCAGAAATTCTTTAGCAGCGAAGCGTTTACTCCTCAAATGTCTCTGCTCCAAGCTGTCTATTAAGATTCTAAATTGTGAACATTCACCCTCACTAATGACCACTGAATTGAGAACATATCAGCAATATTAACATCTAACCTTCTATATTTATTTTTATACTGGATATGTCCCCGATGCTGCTTGTAGTTTTGTTCTGCTGCATAGAAAGTAGACACACACCACCTGACCCACATTGTACATTTGCTCTTAGCATTCTGAATGTAAAAGTGTTTTTGCTGGGCTTGTTCCTGTATCATGAGGTCTGACTAGCCCCAAACTGTGTGGAGGGAATGGGAAAATCGCATTGAACACAGTGAGGTGGGGTAGGCTATTATAGATCTGCATTCACCTAAACAAAGTTTGGTACTGTCACTCTCCAATAGTGTGACAAGCATCACCAGTGCCATGCCTTCATCAATTTGGGTGCAGCAGGTAATTTCCTGAATCTCTCCCTATACCTCAAACCTTGGGCATTCTGTTCTATTCTATCATGTATCCTTTTAAAATCTTGGGTCATTGAGGTCACCATTTTACCCTCCAGCCCTATCCTCTGGCAGAATTCTTTGCTCCAACTGTCAATTGGCTTATTTCATCATTAAGAAATTTCCCTCCTGATCATTCTAAAGCTGGCCATACACCTTACAACCATCGCACGACTTTCATTGTGCGATGGTTGTAAGGTAATTGAAAGCTCGTACGATCTGCCCATCTTGGACAGACAGATCGTACTTGCGATCATCGCAAGCCCGCCCCGCTGAGGGGAGCGCTTCCGATGACTGCAATGGTTTTGGGCAGGCTTACCATGACTGGAACGGTTTTCGGCAGGTTTATCAGCGTGCTCGGAAGACAAAAGACGTGCGACCGTACAGTAGAAACTAGGCGATGCACCGATACCGATACAAGCATCCGTATCGGCCGCGATACCGAGTATTTGCATGAGTACTCGTACTCGTGCAAATACTCCAAAACATAAAACGAGTACCTGTGCCGCGTCCGCCATCTTCAGGGACCCGGATCCGCTGCACACAGAAAATCGGCGAGTACTTGGAAAAAAGTATCGGTACTCGTACTCGGCCTTAAAAAAGTGGTATCGGTGCATCCCTAGTAGAAACGGTCGCACGCCTTCCATACACCTGCCGATTATCGTACGATCGCGCGAACACCCGCAATTATTGTACGATGATCGGCAGGTGTATGGGCACCTTTAGGCCTCAATTTGTGTAGTTGTTGGACTCCCGTGGCTGCAGACTCACCCTCCTTTAATTAACCGCAAAGGTGGGGCAGTTGATTTCTTGGGGTGACCCTTGCTTCTCTCTCTGTGCACCTAAAGTCACAACTTCAAAGTGCATTCTACTTCTTCCTTCTGAAGTCACCTCTTCCCCCATCCAGTCTATGATGAGTTCAGATGAGGCTTACCTCCCATAGATCCCAGGCTCCACATCTCCCTCTGCCCATGAATGCACTTACCCCTTCTCTATCCCCAAATATAAAACCTTGGAGATGTATATTGCTGACGATTAAAAAAAAGAAAAAGATTAATTAGACTCTCCTCTTCCCCAGCAGCCACAGTAAAACATTTTATACAGAAGAATGGCTTGCTCCATCCTTGCATTTACTACTGCAAACTGAATAACATCATTATAAAGAGCAGGTACCCACCCCTACCCATCACTATGGCAGATGGGTCTCCATCTGCCATATTGCTGCCTGCTCTCAGCGTTCCGTGACATCCTTATTTTCCACTGACAAATCTCTCTACAGTCCTGCTGATCCTGTCATCTGATACAGAGTGATTCACTCTCACTGCAGCAAGTTCCCAGAGGAAAGTAAGAAGTATCACTTTCATCTTATACCTACTGGCATCTGCTCTACTACATTTCCATTTTGAATCTGTGGCTAATATCCCCAGAACTGTAATTTTCCTATGCCACCCAGTGGTCTAATAGCTTTCCTGCATGACTTTATTTTTTTTTTTTTTTTATTCTTTATTTTTCAGTTTGAGCCAACATTTTACACAATACACATAACACATATACATTTGATCAATGATGTCGTACATTTACAAACGTAGGAAGCATATCTACATCTCCTAGCCCCATTCGCCTAGTTATCCAAAGATCAAACCGGAACAACATAATATCATACTCAACATCCGGGCGTGTGGGGCGACTGTAATGCCTATCTCGTATGTTTTAGTACGTATTAAGCTACAGTTGCAGTAGGCAGGTGTAGAAACCTAGGGG